AAAAAAAAAAAAAAAAGAAAATGAATGATTTACAACACACTTCTTAAAGCCAGTGTTTTCTAGATCATAACACATTTCCCTCTGTTGTGTTCTTAGAAGCCGGTAGTTATGAAATGACAAATCAACATGTAAAACAAAATGGAAAATTAGAAGATAATCCTGCAACTGGCAGTCCTCCACGGACTACATTGTTGGGGACCATATTTTCTCCTGTCTTCAACTTTTTTTCACCAGCAAATAAAAATGGTGAGTATAAGCCATTAACCACAATTTGATTGTTAAAAATTCATACCTTTAAATATATATATATATATTCATACCTTTTTTTTTATTCATACCTTTTAAAAAAGTTTTAAATTTAGTCGCCTACTTGTCAGTGTCTTATATTTGTTTTGTGGTTTTGTACACCAATGGAAGTAACTCTTAATAGACATTTCTTTTTATTGATGGAAATAAACATTGGTTATGTTTGATTTTATTGTAGTGAACCCTGTCTGAAAAACTAGATGATAAACTTTTGTCTGGAATAAAAGTTTTATTATTTCCGTGTTGAGATGACTGTGTGCACAGGAGAAATCTACGTATATTTTCAGTAGTCTAGGTTAGTGTTTGCAAACTGGGTAATAAGGGTTCTGGAACAACTCAGGGGGCCGAAAAGCAGCCACTTCTACTACTTTATCTTGGATTATGGGCTGTAGTGCAAAAGCTTTTTAGTTGCCAGGGAGGCTCTGAGTAACTTTTTCTGAAAGGGGGTGGTAGAGCAAAGAAGTCTGAGCTTTATGGGCTAGATCAGGAAAATAGAATTTGTTAAATATTTCCAAATAAGCTGAAACTGAGTCAATTTTTAAAACTATGCTTATTAGTCTCTATATTACTTGAGGGCAAAGCTTTGTCTTATTTTTGCATCTACCATGGTATTAGACTAAGGTGACCAGATGTCCTGCTTTTGGCGGGACAGTCCCGATTTTTAACAATTTTTCCTCGTGTCCCACGGTGTTTTAAAAGAGTCCCAGTTTTTGAAAGAATGCACAACAAGCTAGGGGATACGGTTTTCGGCTGCCATGTGGCTATTTCGCCAGGTTATGAGTTTATCAATGTTAAAATCTGGTCACCTTATATTAGACATAATGTTGGGGGTGTAGAAAGAGGATAGTCACTAAATGCTTTCTGCATAATTATTTAAATTTTAATCTTTTTTCATCTTAATTATGTTTCTGTCTAATAGTACAATTTTTAAAAAGCAAGTAAACAGTCTGGAAGGAAAATTTAATGTAGATTACTATAGTAGAAACAAAATTAACAAAACCAAACCAGTACTCCTTTTTTTTAATGTTGTCTGAAATTTTTGTTTTATTTCTATTTGAATACTTTTACTGATATTTAATTCAGTGGTTTATAAACTATTCAGGCAAACTTTAATGAGAAATCTACAAGATAAACGTGTATAACTTAAGCTGAGAGGATGCTAAAAACAAACAAACAAAAAAATACCCACTCGGGTTACCAGGGTGAAGGTTTTAATACTGGATCATTTGGTTTCTGCATATGGATGAGGAGTTGATGTGGCAGATATATGTCAAGTGACTGAGACACTGGTGCCCCAGCTAGAGCTAGGGATGGAGTACCTGGGGCTACCTCCAGTGTAAGTGCTGCTGCAGTAGCAAGATTTGAATCACATGGTGCATCTGTAGCTGGCCCAACATAATGCTCAGGCTCTTCAATGGGCTATCCTTCAGTTGAGGATGAGGTCCCTGGTGATAGCTCCTGCTTCATTGGTGCTGAAGGAACATGATCCCCACTAGATTCCCCGGGGGCCTGCTCTGGAACTGACCCAGGATGATTCTCTAGTTCTCTGACAGATTGTCCTTCTGGTTCAGGTGTTGGAGGTGGAGGTGAGGTCGCTAGTAATGGCTCCTCTTGCAGTAGTAGCATAGAAACAGGACCATAATCACTAACTGATCGTCCTTGGTGATTTGCTGCACCTAGCACTCTGTGGCTCTGGGGCCATGAGCTCTATAAGTGGCTCTTGGAGATTCAGCTGAGCCAAGAGAAGGTAGAACTGTAGGTCTGGCTGGGTCACAGTGACTTTCAAGTATTCCACCAGGAATTTGGGGGAGGCACACTCTGGGGGACTGGTGGAAAATCAGTCTTGGATGGAAAACGAGTCACTTTCCACCTAGGAGCCCAGGATATACAAGATGGCTCAAGCACAGAACAGACACAGACTCCATCCTCCATCCCCTAAAAATATTTTTAAGATATGCAATCGGAAGGGATGAGCCCGCCAGGGTGCAATATAGCATTGACGAAACATACAACATTCCTCTAGTTCTTTAATGCTATATCTCCCCCCCCCCCACCCGCCACTATCATGA